GTCAAATGGCCTAGCAGCCCTGCCTTAAAGAAACCAATGCAATTAAACCAAACAGCTATGAACTGGTCCTGACAGCTTCCACTAACTTCATTTGATAAAGTGAGATGCAGACACACTCCGACAGACAAGCCCACACTTTATTCACTGCCAGATGCAGCGCCGATATGCAAGTATAGATTCAGCTACAGGGAGAGGAATCAGCTCAGCAGCTCATCACTAAAACCAAATAGCCATATAAAAGGCGCCTGGCCCAAATGCCTCGTAAGGAATATCACCGACAGCTACAGCTCCTATCCAGCAGGCTAATAAGAATAATTATAGCCAGGGCAGGCATTAATCAGCTTGGCAGATACAGGAATTCTGTTAACAAGGCTGAAATAAGTGCCAAGGAATCTCTGAAGACCACAGCACTTCAAAGGCTGTTAAGCTAGAGGGATTCGTGCGTTTCTCCTGTGAGCCTTCCTCCTTATCCAGTGCCCTGTGGAGCAGCAAGCTTCATTTCAGTCCCAGTCCTCTGAGCAGGCATGAGGACCTGCAAGGGCTGCAGACTGTGACAGCATGCTGACACCACTACTCCCTTCTGGATTGCACCTGGGCCCTGCATACCCCAGATCCTAATTTTAATTACAGCTTTGTTTTCTAAGCATAATCATCTTTTCTTCACCTAAATTAATCTCAAACAATCTGCAGCATATGGGCATGGGGAATCATGGTCAGCCGATCCTCAGCATAGACAGGATGGAGTCCAGACGTGATTGAACCTGTTATTTCACTGTTCTGGGCACTGGTTCCCCAATAACTGAGCCCTTTTCCGAGATTTGATGACTGACAGAATGGATCCAAGAGCCTAACTCCAAAGTGATAGTTACTGGTACTCTGTGCCTTTCAGGTTGCAAAGCCCTCACAGAAGTCACCAGCAAAGAACAAGGCTGTGAATAAGGCCCAGGAGTAGAGTACGGGCCCTGGTTTCATTCTCTAGTACCACCAATAAAGAAAGGCCTTGGTTTATCTTGCACCATGCATCTTCCATAATTGACAAAGACTGCTTGGTGCCCCTCCAAATCCCAAATCCATCCTTCCGTTTTCTACAGTAGCCGGCAGATGGCTGCCAGGTTCCTCTGTGCCTTTTCAGCTTCCCTTGCAGCTAGTGTGACATGGAACTAAATTGTCTCCAATGGAATGTGCACAGAAATGATGTCACTTCCAAGCTTGGCCGATGAAGTATCCATTATAATATCCCAGCTGCTTCCCTCCTTTGAGGGGCTGGGAAAGTAAGCATGGAAAACAGAGTGACACTAAAAATCAGACGCTAAAGGGTCACCAACCTGGAACCAGAAGAGCTTCAGGGAAACAAGCACATGCAAGCTTTCCCCGGCCACTGTTACAGAAAATAGAAAAAAAAGAAAAAAAAAATGTCCTATTGTTTGAACCACTATGACAGGAGTGTGTTAAGGCAGTTTAACCTGCTTAATTAGCATAATACTCCTTTACAGCAGTTGAATTGAAAATATGGATGTGATGCTTTTGTCACTTAAAAGCTATTTCAGTGGATTTGCATTTTTTTAAACTGTAGAGAATATATTAATCACTCTCCACAACCTCTAGGTCTCATGCTGCACACCAGTTAAGAACTGAGCCTCTTCCTGTCATGTTAATCTCACCCAGCAAACTTTCCATGACTATTTAGTTCCCACACAATGGAAAGGACATACCCATTTATCGGAGTTCAGTTAGTCAAACACCCCTATGTGTTACATCCCTATCATTAAGAGGACAGAAAGCAAAGCAAGACCAATGGGTTCCCTGCCCCTGGGGGATAAGCAGGTGGGGATGTAAGACCCAGGAACAATGACATTCAGTGTCATGAACAGGAGCCATGACATGAAACACAAGCTGCCTGGCTATCTACAGTGAGACAACAATTCACAGCCCAGACTGGTCCACATAACACAGCCCCGTGCCCTACTCCAAACATCCCACCCTCCTCCAATCTCATTACATGGAACTCCGACGCCATTTCTGAAGGAGCCACACACTTCACTCACCCACACTTTATGCTTTTCCCCAGAGCCCATGATGCTCTTCTATCCTTTCTTTCAAAATTCTAATTATCCTCAAGGCTCAGCTCAAATGTCACCTCTTCAGCAAAAGCAACCCCAACCCAAGTCAAAATGAATCCTCCCTGTTTCTCCCCAGTGTTGAGCTGGTGTCAGGGGTTGTGCTGTTTTTATCACCTGTCTACACAGCCCAGTCAAACACTCAATGAGTTGCTATACCCTGGTCATTTGCTGGGGACTCCCAGTACTCAACACTCTGTCACAGACAGAGTAAGCACTTAAGAAATGGCATGTGGAATAAAGGGATGAAGAACAGACACAGGCAAGGAGGTGAGACTGAGTGGTTTCTGGCCTGATCATGGTTAGCTTAGTGAGAAAGTTTCAAGGGGAAAGTGAGCATCAGGAGCAAAGGGAGATACTCAGGGAAGAGGCCAGGAGTAGGAGGACTAGAAGGCTCAACAGAGTCCATGAATAGCAAACGTGTGCTTAGAATGAAATGGCTTAAGCAGAAAGAGTAGGGACCAAATGCAAGCAGCATCTCCTAGTAGGAAAATCACAAACGCCCAATGCACACAGGTGGGAACCCCAAAATCACCCATCAGAAAAAATGGTGACCTCAGAAGGAAGCTGGAGGAAACTGTCAACATGAGAGGTCAGAGGTTATCCTGGCAGGGAACTTCCAGGGAGGGCATTGGCTGAGACTGGAGAAAGCATGGAGTGTGGATGAGTGGGGTATGAGGCTCCTTCAGAAGGTGGAGGCAGTTCGAACCTGTGCTTGGGAAAAGCTACAAAAGAAAGGGCCAGGGTACAGGTGAAGTCCAGAACAGAGGGTCACCATATAAGTAGCAGTGACAGAGAGCAGTGACATCAAGATTCCATCAAAACCTGAGGAAAGATGATCTTGTTCATTTTCAACACACTCCATTGCCAGATTCAGTGTGTCTGTCTGGAGAATGGTGGGACACTGGGAGGCTGCCTCCAGGGTCAGACCCAGTGGTGCCAAGGGACAGAGTTTGCAGGCAGGACATCAATGGTTCAGAGAATTGTTGATGAATCTGCACTGGCCAGTGACTCCCAAAATTACTTATGTCTCATCAAGGTTGGATGAATGAGTACACCACCATGATTTCCCTAAGCTGTGTTTTTGTTTTTGTTTGTTTCTTTTTGTTTCAAATGAAGGATGAAATCCAGAGCCAGGCAAAGCTACATATACATGCTGCACTCTTCCACAGAGCTACAACCCCAACGAACTTAAAGGCATGTTTTTAAACTTCTACCTCATGCTACCCTCTTCACTGGTTCATATATAGACTGCACACTGAGCACTCTAGGGAGAGTCATTCACAGAAACCGCAAAGTGAGTAGCAGATGGGAGTGGTGCCCTGTGCAATCTGTGCAGTCATAGGCCATGGCCCTGCTTGACCCAGACACATAAGCCAATTAAATGGGGTGGGCCATCCCCAGCAATGTGCGGCAAATACACAACCTACAAGCCCCAGCAATGTGCAACAAATACACAACCTACAAGCCCCAGCTATGTGCAACAAATACACAACTTACAAAGGTAGGGCGCCTGCCTGGTAGGGTAAAATTAAAAGATCTTGGATCAGAAACCACAGAGGACCTTGGGGTGCTTTCTGCACATAGGCTGTGGCTGAAGAACTGTGGCTCCAGGAGTTCTTGGAGGGAGTCACTTCCAGAAAACCCCTCAGAGGTAAAGAATCACACTAGCAGCTAAGAGAGAAAGGCTAGTTAGCAGGCTGCAGGGACTCATGGGGGCTGGGACAGTAAAGTCCTAATGCCAGCAGGAAGGGGGTGGTGGAGGGAGGCCTCCGCTGGGACCCTAGGGCCACCAGAAGTGCAGCAATTTAGCCTATCTGCAGCTGAGGCCTGGCAGAGATAGTCAACACACAACACGTGCCCCTGCAAAAGATTGAGCTCTGTCTTCTGCAGATGCTTGGAAAGGAACCCAGGGCTGGGTCTGGAATTTCGCTTGTCCTAGATGACACTGATCACAGGGATTCAAGCATATAACCACACTTGGAGATCTGTCTTTCTGAACCATGGCAGGAGCTAAATAAATACATCTCGTGGCTGGTTAAGATCACCCTGTGTGTATCTACGTTTAGATGGTGTCTGTGTAAGGAGTGAATGGAAAATGGAGAGAGGCGGGGAAAGCCCATGAAAGATTCCTAGGGTGGGGGGAAGACATTGGGCCAAACTACCGAAGGCACCAAGGGTTTCCGGAGGGTAGAAGAGAAAGGGGCAGTAACGAGGGAAGTAACAGGTAGAAAAGTTGGGGAAGCAGGGCTCCCGGGTCTTTGTGTATGAATCCGAGCCTAGTCAGCTTCAAGAAAAGCTGGGAGGAAACACTGAGGGAGATCTGGCCACAACTAAAATGACGGGGATGGTACACGATTGTCAGTGTAACGCTCTGGGCCACCCAGTGACCTTCATGAAAGGAAGTTGGGTTCTCTTGCTCTCCTAGAAAATCAACTCAGCGTGGGCTAACGAGTGCAGAGCGATCCGGACCGGCCGCGGCTATGGCGGGGCACAGCAAAGGCTCATATTTCCGCCCAGCCGTGCACGCGGGCCGGGGCCGTCCGCACCTTCCGGGGCCGGGAGTTCAAGGTGAGCCCGGTTCCCGGCGGCCAACAGGTAGAGAGCGCTGTCGGGGAACCGGCCACGGGCCACTCCCCCGGCACACGTGAAGACCCGGCTCTGCCAGGCCGGGAGGCTCCGGGTACCCCACGCGCGGGCCCAGGAGGATGTACACCCGGCTCCGGGCGTCCGCACACCGTTCCCCGCCCGGCCGGGGACCCCGCACTCCGGAGCCGGGTCTCCCGGGAGCCGCCCCGGACAGCCCGGGTGCCCCAGGCCCGGTGCTGCAGCCGCGCCTCCCCCTGGGGACCCCGAGCCCCGCCGCGCCCCACGCGCACTCACCCAGCGATAGGAGCGCCAGCAGCAGCGGCCTCGGCGCCGGGCGCCCCATGCTCGGCCGGCGGGAGCGACTCTCCGCCTCCTCCTCCTTCCCCGCCGCCGCTCCTCCTCCTCCTCCTCCAGCTCCGGCTGCTCCAGAGTCGGCTGCTCCGCCGGGCCGCGCGCCTGCTCCGCTCTTCCTGCCGGCCGAGCGAGCCTAGCGCCGGCGCGGACGTGCGCACCTGGCTCGGCGCGGCCCTCCGCCCCCTCCCCTCCCGCCCTCCGCTGTCTCCCGGCCCCGGAGCCGGTCCCGCCGATCACAGGGCGCAGCCCCGGCCGCCTCCCGAAAGCAAAAGGGAAGAGCCGCGGCGTCCGCCCGCCCGCCCGCACCTCCCACCCGGCGCTGTGCCAGCAACAAACACAAACTTTCCCAAGCCCCTCCCCGCTCCAGGTAACGGGGGAGGCGCCCGGGCCACCCGCTTAAAGGGGAGGTGACGCCCGAGCCCACCCAGCCTTCCCCTCGGGTCCCCACCCCTCGAGAAACTTTCCTCCGACCTTTAAAAGTTGGCCTGGAAGAAGTGTCTGGAAACCTCATCGCTTGGGCCCTATCCCGGGACGTCCGGCATTCCTTCTCTGTGGAATCCCCACGAGTGTCTCGCAGCCAGCAACCCACACGTACATCCTCTGGTCCCCAGTTAAGCATTGCCACCCGCCACCTGCTTAGCCCTTGCTAAAAATAATTACTCAGATAGGATTGAAAGGACTTCAAAGGCAGTGAATTCTCACCCCCTCATGGTCCAGAGACCTAATGTACCCTGCCAGGGAGAGTTGGCAGGGACTCTCTCAGCCAGCATCGGATCCATCAAGGCTCTGGCCTGACTGTCCACCACCCTGTAGTTGGGTGGGCCTGCCTCCTCCTGGCCCACCTCCTTCCTCTCCAGGATCCCTGTGGTACTAATTAGAACAACTTCCAGCAAAGGTACCCATAAAAAAAAAAAAGAGAAAAGAAAATCCACACCGTCCTATTATTAGCCGTAGTGCTTCAAATGGTATGTCTGCCACGTGAGACTATATTCATTGCTTTAAGTGGACACGGCTGGGTTTCTATTAAAGACTCTTTCCTCCCACAATAGAGTTTTGTGCTTTGGATTTGAATACAAAAGACTCCACAGTGCTGGGGGAAAAAATCAGTGTTCCTTGTTTAAAACTTCACAAGGATGATTCAGACGCTCGAAAAGGCTCTGGTATCCAGTGACCCCCTCGACCCAGCTTTTCATTAATATATGCAAAACAAATCACAGATGTTCCTGGGGACCTACCCTCTTCGGTGCTGAACATCGCTCTTGTTCTGATTTCCACAAGTGTTTCTCGTTCCTGTTAACTGACATGTGACAAGCCAGGTGTGAAGCCTTCCAAAAGAGACTCTTAAAAATTTATTTCCAGCAGGCAGGGTGGCCTAGCCACTGCACTTTGGAGGGAGAGGTAGGATCGGTTCAAGGTCATCCTTGGCTTCAAACAGAGCTCAAGACCAGCATGGGCTACATGAGACCCTATTTGGTCAAAAGACCTAAATAAATAAATTCCTGGTGGTTCAACAATGTGAATTACTCCCACACAGTGACAATAGTTAAACAGGGTTAAAAAATGCTAACTTTGGTGTTAAGTATATTTTACCCCAATACATTTTTTTCCTTTTAATTTCAGTCTTACCACCAAGTTTTCCCCAGTGCTCCCCCATCAGCACCCTTACCCATCATTCCTTTCCCCTCCCCACCCCAACCTTTTCCTAGAATTTCTGAGGGAATTTTCATTTTCTTTTGTTTCTCTCCATTCTACCAATCCTGAATATAAGCCTAATGTTACGTTATGAAATCTGCTGGAACTACAGAGAAACATAAGGCCTGGCTTCTCCAGAAGCTCAGATTTCAGCTCATCAATCTTTCTGCTTTCTTACCACCCAGAATGCTTAACGTCTGGGCTGCACATTTTGGCACTTGGTCACAGTCAGCCCACCACACTAAGCATACTGCTTCCACCTCTGTCTAACAACTCGGGGACCTCTGAGGCTGGCACACTGTCCTTGTGCGTCCCCACATTGCTGGAGAGGAGTTCTGTGTTCTTTGTTTAAGAAACAAAACAAACAAACAAACAAACAAACCCTGGAACTTGGAAAGAGTCCTCCCTGTGCACTCTCTGAGCTACACCCAGGAACTGCAGTCATGAGTCAGTTCCTGCCCTTAGGGTGTTTATAGTGGGCTCTGTGACTTACTGAGTGTGAAAGCAGGTGCAAAGTCCAGTCATGACACACCCTAGGAGTGGTCAACACTGGAGAAAGTTCACAGCTGTCACAGAAGGATGACTGCGCAAGGAGTCCTACAGAGTAGGTACAAGGTACATGGAGGGGCTCAACAATAGGTGTACTCGTGTGCAATGGAAGGTCCTTCTCTCCTCCCATCCCGGCACACATGTGTTGTTAAACTAATGTACACTTTATAATCACAGTAGTAACTGAACAACTTAACTGGTAGGAATAAATGAGACTGTCCAGACAAGGCCAGAGCAAAGGAGACTAAGTGGATGGCTGTCACCTGACTGACTGATTGGCAGCCAGTCAACTGTGTCATGAGGAGCCACGGATGAGCCATTGATATAGCAGAAAATAAGCACAAATTAATAACACCAGGCACTTGATCCTATTACCACCCTTTGTGCTGACTACCAACAGATACAATGTTTCCAACAGATACAATGTTTCCAACTAAGAAGCACGGCACCTGCCGGTTGCAGAGGCCCACAGTAGCTCCATTCATCTCCGTGGGATCTGATGATGCAGGTATTTATTTGCCAAATTGAGTAACTTCCCATATAGGTAAGCCTCTTACTCCAGCCAGTGGTTCTGTTCAATTTGTGTACAGGCTTGCCTGAAGCAACAACTCATTTCTAGTAATCCTAATTAACCCTCCCCCACCCACAAGGAGGATGAATCCCAGCTTGGGTTTTACTGTGATACAGTGAGCATCAAGGGCATCAGCCACCCTTTATTAGCTCTTGATAATAAATATCAGCCTGCAGCTGTGGCCCTTGAATGTCCTACAAAAGTCCTCACATTCTCTTCTCTCAAACAGGATTTCCTGTTAAAATCCAACACTGTATCATTTAAATTTCAGACTGAAATGTTAAAAAGTTCTGAATAGGTGAATTGGTTAATTTTTCTTAAGATTCATCCAGATGTGGTAGGTTTACCCTGTTACTGCCCACAGCCTATATGCATGGTATGCATCCAAACTAACCACCATGGCGGTGGGTCTTTGGAAAAAGGGTGTGTTCTAATGCAACATTGTATTCCATTAGTCACTGTGTCTAGAGGTAACTTCCCCATCAGAATTAAGAGATTACTAATATATAAGAAATGGAAGGGTTGGAGACGTTGCTCAGAGGTAGGACACTTGCTTCTAGGCTCACTCTCCAGCAATAGAAAGATGGGGGCAGGTAGAAGGGAGTAGAGAAGGGAGGGAGGGAGAGGGGGGGAGAGAGAGGAAGGGAGAAATAGTAGAGTTAGGAAATTCTACTATTTGAGTTTAAAAGAGAATGATGGAGAAGGGAAGCCCACACTCCCTGAGGAGTGAGAGTTGGTTATTCTGTAAGCTCTGGGAAGCTGTGGGGGCCCTTCTGACAGACTAGGGAAGTGGTCTAAGCAGCTAGCTGGAGGCCTGCTCCTGCTCTGTGACTCCTCCCAACACTGCCAATCCTTCTTATCTTTTCTGCCCCAAAAGGCCAAGGTGGGTAAAGATGATGTTCTTGAGAGACTTAGAACTGCCCGCAAGTCCACATCCAAAGAACCAAAACTCCCACAAACACCGCCCCCATGGCACCCACCCTTGCAGGACAGTGTGAGATGGGAACATGGAGAAGAAGCCCTGTAGTAAAAGCACACTGCAAATGTGAGGCCAAATCATGAAGTCTCTGTGGTCCTGGCCCTGGAGGGGCTCCTCACACACTAATGAAGAAGACAGGGATAGGGGGAGGATGAGAGGGAGAGAGGAGAGAAAGAAGAGAGGAAAGGGAAGAAGAGAGGGAGGGAGGGAAAGGCAGGAGGAAAGATGGAGGGAGAGAGGACAGAATAGCTGGGTTGTACCCAAGGCTACGGCTTCTGGCTCACCTCTTGCCCTCACCTCCTGCTGAAGCCAGGGAGAGGTATGTCCATATGAATTCAAGTGCCCATGGGAGGTATCAACTCCCCTTGACCTGGAGTTACAGGCAGTTGTGAACTGCCTGGCATGAGCTGGGAACCCAACTCCAATCCTATGCAAGAGCAATACCACTCTTAACCACTGGAGCATTTCTCCCTAGTCCTCTTTTTTTTAAAAATGTAGTTTATGATTAGCATGTATATGTGTGTGTGTGTGCATGTACAGATGGAACATGGCAAACATGGAAGCCAAAGGACAACTGCTAGGAACAGTCTGGTCCTCTACTTCCATCATATGGGTCCCAGGGGCGGTGATCTGTTTGTCAAGCTTGAGGGCAAGAACCTCTACTCTCTGAGTCATCTCCATGACCCTCATCTCCACAGTTTTTGACTACTTTGTAACTCACCATCTCATTCAAGTCAGCCAGCTGCTGGCTTGCATTGTACATGTTGCTACTTTGTCTTGGAAGGGTCTACAACAGTGGGTATTTTGCTGTTAGTTATTTCGAGGGCACTTAAGGAATGACTTCTCATTGCAACAGTGGCTACATCCATGCCTTATAACACAGATCTCACAGAGGTCTGGGGTAAAATGCTGTGACTTTCTGGGGTCCCTTGTCCATTGGAACACTGGAGGTCTATTTGCCAGTCATAGCCAGCTGCCCTTCGCCAGGTGATGGATGTCAGGTCTGCCCTGGCTGGGAGGATTGATCAACAGAGCAAATGATTTCATGCTTAACCCGCAACTGAGAACAGCCAACATCCAGAAGATGATTTTAAACTTACTGCCTCTCAATATTTTTTTTCTAAGTTCAGCAGAGAAAAGCAATATGCATGGAAGATTACTTGAAGAAAATGTAGCCCGTACATTCTAGAAGCCCTTAGATCTTCCTGTGAGTTATGAATTAAAGAGACCTTCAGTGAGCTTAATACTTGGATACATCACATCAGCACCCCCATAAAGTTGCTTTTATTGATTGCTCTTTGTCAAGATGCCATCAGCTCTTACTGAAGGATGTCCTAAGAAAGAACCCTGAGCACTTT